AATAACAGGAGCATTATATATTGATAACAAAAACTTAGAAGGAGATTTAAAAATAGAAGGTTTTACTAATTTAGAAAGATTGGATTGTTATTCCAACAAACTCGCTAGTTTGAAGATAATTAATTGTCCAAAATTAAAAACACTTTATTGTTATTCTAATCAATTACATAGTTTAGAATTGGATGATTTACCTCAATTGGAACTTCTTTCTTGTCATAGTAACAATTTACCTAAGCAAGATTTAACAATTTTTAGTAACTTTACTAATTTAACGACTTTAAGAATTGGTAATAATGATAAAGAACAAGTGGAAAAAAGCATCTACAATCGCTTCTATGGCAGTTTAGAGTCATTAAAGGACTTAAATAAACTATCCGAACTTAATATTAGTAATACCGATATAGATTCTGGACTAGAATTTTTATCAGATAGCATTGGAACGTTAGAACACGAAGTTATATCTGACGAATCTAACAAATATAATTTTGGAGTAAATGAAATCCATAAACAACTAACTACTTGTGGTAATAGTATTAGCACATGAAGAGAATGAAAAAGGAGAGGATTCAATAGTGAAGAAATTAAACAATGAAAAGAAGTCGGATTAAATGAAAATGAATATGATTTTGCTGCTTACTTAAAAAATCAAAAAAAATATGGCAATATTGCTGAAGTTAAGGCAGAAGATATAGAAAATTCAAGAGAGGATTTCAACAACTGAATAAAAATTGCTCAAAACTATTTAAACAATTACTTGCCGGAAGAAAGGAGAAAGATAACTAACTTAAGTGTCACTTATAAAAGTTTAGAAGGAAATTTAGACCTGAGTGATTTTGTAAATTTAGAGACATTAGATTGTAGTAATAATAAATTAACTGGAATTACTGGACTAAGTAATAAAAACAAGTTAACCAATTTTCGATGCTCTTCTAATCAATTAACTAGTTTGGAGATAAGTAATTGCGAAGAATTGAATGATTTTAGATGTCTTTCTAATCAACTTACTGAATTAAAAATAACTAACTGTCCCAAATTAAGTATCATTGATTGCGACACTAATAAATTAGAAAGTTTGGATGTGGATGATTTACCTGGTCTGACTTTGCTCGATTGTCGCAACAACTTGCTAACTAGTGTTACTTTGCCGAAAGAAACTGCTAATTTAAAAACATTATATTTACAAAGTAACAAATTTTCTAAAGACAAAGATTTTTCTTTCTTAACTTCCTTTACTAATCTGGAAAGCCTTGATTTAGGAGGAAGTGAGCAATTTGCTCTTTATGATAATAGTATTAGCACGTGAAGAGAATGGAAAGAAAGAGGTTTGGGTGATCAAGGAGTAAAGAAAATAAAAGAAAGTGGTGTGGGAATATATGATTTCAAATTTGCTGATTATTTAAAAAAAGAAGAGAGTTGGGAAATTTTAAAATCTAATGAGAAATTGTTAGAGGAGAAATGTAAGGATTATCTCCAAGCCCAGTCTTGACTAACTTTTAACTATCCAAAGGAAGAGAGAGAAAAGAAAACTGAGTTAAATATTTCTAATAAAAATTTAGAAGGAACGTTGAGTTTGGAAGGTTTTAATAATTTAGAGAAATTATATTGCTCTGAAAATAAACTCACTAGTTTGGATGTTGGTAATTGCTTAAATTTAAAAATACTTGAGTGTCATAGCAATCAATTAGTTACACTTGATTTAATTGACTTGGCAAACTTGGAAGAAGTTGTTTGTAATGTTAACCAGTTGACTGAGATAAAATTAGGTAATTTAACACAACTGTGAAAACTGTTTTGTAGAAATAATTGTTTAACCGATATAGACTACTCCGTTTTAAATCCCGAAAGATTAACTGAGTTAAGCATAAGAAACAATAATCTTTCAGAACAAGACCTATCAATTTTTAGCAAATTCACTAAGTTAAAGCGGTTATGAATTGGCAGTGATAATAAAGAAGAAATTGAGAGAGATAAATATAATCACTTTGTTGGTTCACTAAGTTCTTTAAAAGGACTAACTGACTTAGAAGAATTGCATATCTCTAATACTGATATCAATCAAGTAGATGTTAAAGATTTACCTGAAAAATTAAATTATATTCATTATTCAACAGAAGAAAGGTCAGAAAGTAGCAAGTTAAAAGATATTAGCCAAGAGTTAGATAATTTTCTTACTAAAAGAAAACTTGATAAAATGTATCCTGATAAATCTGCTACTAAACTAACAAATCTTTACTCAGAAGGATTAAAAGGTCATTTAGATTTAAGTAATTATGCAGATTTGGAAGAGTTAAGATGTGATAATAATCAATTAACTAGTATAGATGTGAGTAAGAATACTAAACTTAAAAAGTTAAAGTGTTCTAACAATAAATTAAAAGAAATTAATTTTGGAAATAACATTAATTTAGAAGAGTTAAGATGTAATGATAATGAATTAATTAGTGTTGAATTTTTCTCTAAACTCTCTTCTTCAAAGAAATTAACTTTTTTAGACATCGTCAATAATAATTTCTCAAAACGGACAGAGATTGTAGAATCAAGAAAACAAGAAAATAATTCAGAAAGTCAAGATCTATCTTTTTTAAAGTCCTTTACCAACTTAGAAGGATTGTATCTAGGAAATAATGATAAAAAAAGAATTAAAGCAGGAAATTACAACAAATTTTATGGCTCTCTCGAATGCTTAAATAATTTGGATGAATTAAAAATATTGGACATTAGAAACACCGATATTGACAGCGGTCTAAGCTACCTATTAGAAAACAATAGTCTAAAAGAAATCTACTGTTCTAGCAAGGAAAGACCAGAAAGTAAAGTTAATGAAATAGAAAAAGAACTAAAAAGCAAGTCGAGTGATTTCTCTTATTCTGAAAGCGAAGGTAAGTACAAGTTAGAAGCAAGTATTAGCGAAAAATTATTAAATTTAGTATCAGAGTTAAAAAATAGAGATGCTCAAACCTGGCTAGAGAGTCAAGAAGAATATAAAAATAAAGAAAAAGTAAAAGAGTTAAATATTAGTGGCGAAGGTTTAAAGGGAAAATTAAATTTAAGCAATTTTACTAATTTACAGTATTTAATTTGCCATAACAACGACTTGACTGAAATTGATTTAAGTGGTTGTTCGCAACTGACTAGCATCAACTGCAAAAAGAATAAATTAAAAAAGTTGGTTTTTAAAAAAGGTCTAAAACTAAAAGAATTCCGCGGTTCTGATAATGAGTTTGCTAATTTGAAAGATATTATTGATCCTATAGATCTTAAAAGCCTGACTTACTTCAATATTACTAATAATAAAATTTCTGATTCTAATATAAATGTTTTCGATAAATTTACTGATCTAAAGAGTTTATATATTGGCAACACAGAAGAGGGAGGGGGGACAAATAGGTTTAAAGGTTCTTTGGAGGATCTAAAAGGCCTAGAAAAGTTAAGTAACATTAATATTAGTAAAAATGAAATCAAGATTGGGAAATTTTTGAGCAAACAAGGTGCCGATCGTAAAGAGGATAAAGATAGTATAAATAGTATGCTAGGGTCATTTAATAATTTAGAAAGGATTTATTATAAAACTGATAAAAATGAGAAATTAAAAAGAGAATTACAAAGCTGCTATAAAGAAGAAGATGGCTTTTTTGACGTAAGGTTGTTTTTAAAGAAGGGATTGTTGCAAGGTACTTCACAAAATACCAAAGTAGAAGCGATAGTAAAAGTTCCTCTTTTGTCTGGGGGGAAAAGTAAACACAGTGTGAATAAGATTAATGAAAATTATAATGTTGAAGGTGTAAATTATAAAATTAAAGCGGTGTGGCCACTACAGGCCGGGTTTAGTTGGAAAGTTGATGAGGAATTGGAATTAAATAAGCTTCCACTCAGACTTTGCCATGTTGATGAAAAAAATAGTAGCAAAATCGAGATAAAAACAAGAATTGATTGTGCGAAAGATGCAAAGAAATATGCTATTTTGTCTTATTTTTGGGGTGGTAAGCCCAAAGAAGATGTTAAATGAAATACCGAAAGTGCTATAGAAAGATTGAGTTTGGGTGGAAAAAAATCTCTAGATAAAGTCATTAAAACTATAGAGGTTCTTAAAGAGACACACGATTTAGAAATCAAACATTTTTGAATGGATCAATTGTGTATGAATCAAGAAGACACCAAAGAAAAGGGTCACGAGGTTTCTCGAATGCGAGACTACTATGGTAATGCTGCTGTGACTTTGGTGGCGATACAAGCGGATATTGGTGAAGAGGTTATTAGAGAATTGACGAAATCCTTTGAACCAGGGGCAAGTGGACTTATCTATCCCAATAAAATAATTGAAAACTCATTACCAATTTTAGAAAAAATAATCGGTTCCGAATGATTCTCTCGTTCCTGAACTTTCCAAGAAGGCTTTTTATCTAAGGGAACTATCTTTATGTTCGATGATTTTTTGATTGATGGCAGATTTTTAGCTTTGATTTGAAAATTACGACAATTTTCTGCGGTTCATTATGATGAATGTATGAGCATAAAAGAACTATGCGGAGAAAAAGCCGCTACTCCGGTGGGGTGGGCATATCATAAGGAGGGATATAATTCTAAAGACGAGGCTTCTCTCCGACTAAATGAAGCACTATGAGCAGTAAAGGATAGAGGTAGAAGTATTGCTCTTGATGGCGTCTATTCGATAATTGGATTATTACCTTATGGTTCGGAAGTAAAGGTCGATTATAAAAAAGATCCCGAGTCAGTATTACGGGAAGTTATGTTTATTGCTACAAAGCATGGTTATGGCGAACCCTTAGCTTGACACGGAATAGGTAGCAGGACATTAGGATTGTGCTGATTACCAGCAATAGATAGTATCAGTGGTTCAAGTAGCATAACAGGAAATATAAACATTAGTTACAAATCCACGGAAAGAGGTCTCAGATTTAATCCAAGCAAAGGTATTAAAATAACGGGTTCAGAATATGTTATATCTGCTATTGAAAAAAGTGGTGGTATATATAAGTCAGAAAGAGAAGAAACGGTGGATGGTGGCTTGTGAAAGAAAAAGGTTTGAGTGAAAATTAGTGACGAGAATAAAGCGGTGAAGTTAACTTTATCAGGAACTCAAGAAGGTATTAAAGCGGTTGATAAGGGTAGAGTGCTTATAATACCTAGTAAAGATGAATGAGAATGAGAAGGAGACAGGCAATTTGCTATATTAGCATCAAAGACTGGTGAAGATAACCGTCATCGCATAGATTTAATCAGAATAGAAGAAGGTCACGAAAACTTAATTATAAAAGATAAAGATGATGAAGTTGAAAAACTAGAAGTTGCAGAAAAACAATTCATAATTGGTCTAGGCAATCAAGAAAATGATGAATACCAAGCTCAAATCGAAATCCCTCCCAAAAAATAAAAATATGGTAAACGCCCAAGAATACATAAATAAAAACTACCCACAAGAAATAAGAAAAAACCTAAAATCACTAGAAATTTCCGGCAAAGACCTCGAAGGACACTTAGACCTAAAAGACTTTATCAGTTTAGAACGCTTAGACTGCTATGAAAACCGAATCACTAGTTTAGATTTAACAAACAACAAAAATCTCACTTACCTAAACCCTTCTTCTAACCCAATTTCTAATTTAGATGTAAGTCAAAACAAAAATCTTACTGAAATACACTTCTCTTATGGTCAAATCAGTAGTATAGACCTCAGCAAAAATAAAAATCTTAACTTCGTAAATTTTAACAATAACTTATTAAGAAACTTGAATCTAACTAATAATCCCAATCTTGCTACTATTCATGTTTATAATAACAAGTTAACTTCCTTAAAAATCGCAAACTTGAAAAAATTAAGAGTGCTGGCTTGCCACATGAATCCAGAATTAATTGGTTCTTTAAATTTAAGCAATTGTCCTGATTTAATAAATTTAAATTGTGCTTTTACTGGCATAGAAAAATTGGAGTTAAATAATCCAAAATTATACCTTCTATATTGTCAAGGAAGTAGAATTAATGAATTAGATTTATCTAAAACGACAATAAAAGAAGAGGATTATGGTAAAAATCTTCGCGCTGATTTACCAAAGGAAAAAATAATTTTCCAAGATGTTCAACAAAGAATTAGTCAAGGAATTGAACAACCAAAAAAGAAAAAAGTTTTCCTAGGTGGCACCTGAAACAAATCAAATGATTGGCGAAAAGAAAGGTTAATTCCTCAACTAGAAGCAGTTGACATTGACTATTTTAATCCCATTGTCGACGACTGAACTCCGGCGTGACAAAAGGAAGAAATGCGGCAAAAAGAAATCTGTGATTTTGTCCTTTATGTTATTACTAAGGAAATGAGTGGTGTTTATTCCATTGCTGAGGTGGCTGATGATAGCAACAAAAGACCTGAAAGAACCATTTTTTGTTATTTAGAAAAAGGATTTGAAGAAAGTCAAATTAAGTCATTGAAAGCGGTTGCTAATTTGGTAAGAGCAAATGGTGCAAAAGTTTGTGATTCTTTGGAGGAAGTGGTTGAATATTTGAACAATCAGCAATTAGGATTGGTGGAAGAAATAACTTCTATTGATTCTACTAGTCAAATAACAAGAGAACAATTTATAATTCAAGAAGAACAACCTGCTAAAGGTGGATTGAATTGAAATTGTTGTAGCAATAGAAAAATTAAATATAATTTAGAATAATGCAATTATGGTAGAAGCACAAAATTGATTGGATAAAAATTATCCCAAAGAAGAAAGAAGTAAAGTACGTTTGATGTCTATTAATAGAAAAGACCTAGAAGGAGAATTAAAATTAGAAGATTTCGGTAATTTAGAGAGAATAGATTGTAATGAAAATAAACTGGATAGTTTGCAATTTACTAATTGTCCAAAACTCACTAGAATTTATTGTTATGTAAACAAACTAACTAGCCTGAAAATTACTAGCTGTCCCAAGGTTAGTCATCTCAATATCTCTTGCAATTTTTTTAATAATTTTGGTTTTTTAAATGATTTAGACCCCAAGAGGTTAGTTTATTTAAGCGTTCACACTAATAATCTCCCTGAAAGTGATTTAAATATTTTTAGCAACTTTACTAATTTAGAAGAATTGTATGTTGATAATTATGATAAGGATAGGTTTGATAAAGGAATATACAATCGCTTTTATGGCTCCTTAGAACCTCTGAAAGAACTAAAGAAGCTGAGGTGGCTAAACATTGGTGGGACTGATATTAACTCCGGACTAGAACATTTACCTTCAAGTTTGAAAAAAATTGGATGCAATAGTAATATTGATAAAAAAATTTGAAAGTGCCTAGAAATAGAAAAAGAGTTAAAAGAGGCTGCCCAAATTGCAGATATGGGTGAAGAAACTACGGAGATTAGGGAGGAGGATACTAAATGAAGCAAAGATTGATATAGATTTACTCAGTGACGTCAAGTTAAAGAGTGAGAAAAGAAGGGGTTTAATAGGCATGAAATCAGACAATGAATAAATGCTGGTCTAAAATTGGGTGAATTAGATTTCGCTGTTTATTTAAAAGTAAAACACTACATCCCGTCTACCTTTAAAAGAGAAGTTAAAATTTGACTAGATTGGAAATATCCCAAAAAGGAAAGAAGTAATATTAGAGAACTAGATATTAGTTATGAAAATCTAAGCGGTAGACTAAATTTAAGTGAGTTTACTAATTTGGAGAAATTAGATTGTAGTAACAATAAATTGACAGAATTGAAGTTAGATAGTTTAACTAATCTAGAGGAAATTCACTGCAATCACAATGTTTTAACTGATATTTGTTTAAGTAAAAATAACAAAAAGGCAAGAAGACTAGAATGTGAAGATAATCAAATATCTTCTTTAGATTTTTTAAACTCATTAGATTTTGAAACCTTAGAATATTTAAATCTAAACAGCAATGACTTAAAAGAAGAAAGTGAGTTAGACTTTTTTGGTAAATTTAAGAACCTAAAAGAATTACAGATTGGCAATAAAGATAAAGAAAAGATCATCCGGAATATTTACAATCGATTTTCAGGAAATTTAGAATCTTTGAAAGGTCTTAAAAATTTGGGATTGCTCAACATTGAAGGTACTGATATAGACAATGGCCTTGAATACTTACCTGAGAGTTTAAAAAGTTTTTATTGTGCCAATAAGCAAAGACCTAATGCTAAGGTTAAAAAGATTTTTGATCAAGTTAGTAATTACGGTGAGGAAGGTGAGTATGACTTTCAAGCCTGAAAGGAGGACAATAGTGACAGTCAAGCTCAAGAATGGTTGAATAAAGAATATCCCGAAGATAATAGATGCAGGAGAAAATCTGATCAGGAAAACAAAGGCAAAAGAAGGGAAGAAATAAATATTTTAGATATCAGCAAACAAGAATTAAAAGGCAGACTAAAGTTAGAAGGATTTGATAAATTAAAGGAGTTAAATTGTTCAAGTAATCAATTGACTAATCTAGATTTGAGCAATTGCGAAAAATTGGAAAAATTAAATTGTGCTAATAATCAATTTACTAGTACAGACTTTTTAATAAACTTGCGTAAACCAAGTAAATTGGTAGGTTTGGATATAGGAGGTAACAGTAGAATACCTAAACAAAACTTAGATTTTTTACTTTCTTTTACAGGATTAAAAGAACTGAATGTAGAAAATTGTTCATTCGAAGGCAGTTTAGAATCTATCAAAAGTATGAGCGAATTGAAAAAAATCTGCATCAGCAATACTAATATAGAGGAAGGCTTAGAGTATTTGTCAACAAATTGCCAAAGATTTTACTGTGATCGTAATGGTAAAGGTAAATCAGCAAAAATTGTTAAGGAGTTTGGTAAGTATTTAAAGAACGATAAAGATAAATCTGGTGCTGAATATTATGATTTAGTCAAATGAAAGGAAGATAAACAAAACGGAATTGCACTAATTGTACCGTTAGAAAGGCTTTATGTTATTAAAAGCAATATGAAGAGATTTCATGATAAATGGGGGGAGAAAGGTGACGATAAGGATAGTGAATGATGAAAATTCTGAGAGAAAATAGAGGTTCTTTGAGAAAAAAAGGGTAATGATAACTTGAGTAGATTACAGTCGCCTGAAGAATACGGAAAATACTGATATGCAGTTATTCCTCAATGAACTAGTCGTGCTGCTGCCGTAGGCGGAGGAATTTTAGCAATAAATGACAATTATAACCAAATAGGAGGTGCAATCGGTATAGCTTCTGCGTTTTTTGAGACAATTTTTTCACGGGCAAAAGAAGATCTTTACGATGCTAAAGAAAGAAAATGAGAGGAGTTTGTTAGAGATGCAGAGAGTCTATGAAATAGCTGCGATGAGTTAATTGGGATACTTGAGCCTATTCATATTCAGGTTTCTTCTTCAGGTGAAGCCTTGGGTAAAGTGAATAAAGCAATTAAAGAGTTAAATGACAACATTTTTGGTTTTTTAGGAGGTAAGGAATTTGATAAAAATCGCGATGGCAAAATTAATTATTCCGAATGAAAAGAAATGATGAGAAAACAGACAAGAAATCAACTTACTGATAAATTAAGGGAGTGCTGAGAAAGCAATGAGGATGAAAAAAAGGGGAAAAAAAGTGATTTAGAAAATGTTATAGAAGTAATGAGATTACTAGAGGAAGAGATAATCAAATATCGCCAATACCATCACCATTGGGCAAGTGAGAAAGACGAAAATATGGATAATCAATATTCTAGTGTTCAACTAGAGGATGCTGAGGAAAAAATTTCTTCTGAGTTTTCTTCTAATAACGGGAATTGATGGCAATTACTCAGAAAAAATTATCTCTGGGGAAGAGAAGGTGAAAATGAAAGGGAGGTACCATCGAAAGAAAAATCAAGTTTAAATAATAGTGAAAAAGAGATACAAGAATGGTTCACTATTCTTGACCTAAATAGTCAAGAAACAGAATTTATCTATTGACTCAAAGAAGAAAAATGCAAAGACATGGAAAACTTTGCTGACCCCCAATGAGTAAAAAATAATGCTGATATAAATGAATTAAGACAAGAATATCAGCAATGACAAGAGGAAAAAGATGATGTTCAAATTCAAATTGAACAACCCCTAAAAAGCAAAAAGTAATCATAAAATAAATTTTGGTAATTTTTATCTTTAAAATGTTTGCCTGAAAGTGTAAAAAGAAAAAGCATAAAGTTATTCTAAAGGCAAAATTCGCCTAAAATTTAATTATCACCAAAACAACTGCTACTTTGGAGGGATTTGGATTTTGGCTTGTAATTGCTCTCTAACCATATCTTTCTGGTTATTTCATCCTATTACAAATTCTTCTTCAAATCCTTTTGAGACAGCTTCTTTTAAATTATCATTATCGTAGCCTTCTTCTATTCTTACTAAATCTACTCGGTGACAGATATTATCTCCAATTTTCAGTGCCAATATAGCAAAACTAACATCGCTTTCCCACTCTTTCTTGTTAGGTATAATGAGTACTCTTTTTGTACCTATTGCTTTAATTCCTTCTTTGGTTCCTGACAAGGTTAGTTTAATTCTTTCATCTCCTTTTTTTGCTTTCACTCAAATTCTGTTCGTTCAAAGGTTACCATCTACTATTCCTTCTTTGTCTAAACTGTATATACCACTACTCTTTTCGGTGTCGATTATCTCATATTCCGAAGCCTTTATCTTAATTCCTTTGTTTTGCTCAAAACCTAACTTCTCTTTTTCTCGCTCATAATCATATTTCACTTTTATGACTCCCTCTATACTACTAGAGCCACTAAATTTGTCTATTTCCGGCATTCAGCATAATCCAGGAGTTCTGCTTCCTGAGCCGTGTCAGGCTAATGGTTCTCCATCGCCTTCCTTTGCAGCAATAAACATAACTTCCCGTAATACTGATTCGGGGTCTTTCCCGTAATCAACTTTTATTTTTCGGCCATACGTTAATAACCCAATTATTGAGTAGATTCCATCCAAAGCAATGCTCCTATCTCTTTTCTTTACGGCTCATAGTGCTTCATTTAGCCCGAGAGAAACTTTATCTCTGTCACTATACTTTTCTTTTCAGTATGTTCACCCAACTGGAGTAGCAGCCTTCTCTCCACACAATTCTCTCATTTTCATACATTCTTCATAATAGACTTCGGAAACCTGTCTAAGTTTCCAAATCAAAGCTAAAAATCGTCCATCGACCAGGTAGTCATCAAACATAAAAATAGTTTGTTTGGATAAAAAGCCTTCTTGGAAGGTTCAGGAACGAGAGAATCATTCGGAACCAATTATTTTTTCTAAAATTGGTAGGGAACTATTGATTACTTCGCTAGGATAAATAAGTCCGCTTTCTCCTTTTTCAAAAGATCTTATTAGTGTTCTAATCGTTTCTTCCCCAACATTTGCATTAATTGGCACTAAGGTTAAAGAACTATCTCCATAATATTGCCTCATCCTAGGAATTTCGTGACCTTTTTCCTTTTCGTCATTCTGATTTATACATAATTGATCCATTCAAAGGTAACCAATATCTATTTTGTGTTTTTCTTTAAGAACTTCTAAAGTTTTGATAGCTTTTTTTAAAGCCTTTTGTCCTCCTCTGCTTAGTCTTCCTTCAGCATTTTCAGTGCTTCATATTATATCTTCTTTTGCTTTTCCGCCTCAAGAGTAGGACAAAATTGCGTAATTGTTTTTTATGTTGTCGTCAATGCAATCAACTCTTTTTTTTATAGTCTTTGGGTCTTCGCTCACGCAATAAACTCTCATTGGCAATCTAGTCAATTGTAGTGGTTCACCTATTTTTCAGTGAAATCCCATTTCTATTGGGTGTACTACTCTATTTCATTCGTCGCTATAGTTTATTATATTTGTTTCATAATTTTCATCAATTCTTCTGGTCACTTTATACCTGTCTTCCTTGTTTGAAAAAAACGGATTTTTTAATATCTTGTCTATTCTAATATTTTTCGGTTTCTCACCCTGCCGTCAGGATTTTATATCGTAAAATTTATCTTCTTTGTTGTAGTAATCTGACAATTTTTGCTCAAAGGTAGATTCGCCTCCAATATTCTTATTTAAATCGTAGTAAATTTCCTCCAGTTTTTTCGGCAACTTGTCCAAATTTTCGATTTTAACATCGGCGTTACTAATGTCAATGTCAAACAGCTTGCTTGATTCTTCCAAAGAATCCAAATAACCACTTAACTTGCTGTTGTTTACATATAAACTCTGTAAAAAAGGAAAGTTTTTAAAAACACTTATGTCCTCGGATATATCATTATAACTTATATCAAAGTAAGTCAAACTTTTAGAGTCAATACAATTAAGAATATCATTAATATTATTAAACTTATTATTAGAAGCTCGAAACTCTTTTAGTTTAAGTTCATCATTAAGAATTAGTTTTTCCAATTCATTTGATCGGCAATCAATGCTCACCAAATCCTGGCACCCATTTAAGATAATATTAGTCAACTTATTGTTGCGACAAATTAAGTACTGTAAATTACTGAAGCCACTTAAGTCTAGTTCTCCTTCTAACTCTTTATCGCTAATATCTATTTCTCTTTCTCGTTTTTTTTCTTCTTCTTTAGAATAGTTTTTGTTTATTCACTCTTGGGCTTTTCTTGGTTTCAGTTTGGCAGGAACTATTTCAGAATCACTTATTATCTCGTCTTCTGTTAGTCCTGACTCAATTTCTAAGTTTTGATTATTATTCGACACTTCAGAAATCTCATCTTGTTTTTGCTTTTTGCTATTATTATTTAATACTTCACTTCTTTCTCTTTTTTTCTTTGCCATATTAATTAAACATTTTAGGTATAATTTCTTACATTCAATTCAAAATTTACAATAGATGGACTTTAGTAAGTAGTTATCCTCCTCTCCCTCCACCCCCGCTGCCTCTGCCCATTATTCCTCCACTTCCTCACTCTCCCAGTTTCCAAATTCAAAACTCCACTAACTAATCCATCTTCTATCTTAGCCTGCATCTTCCTCCTCCGATAAGCCTTCTGTCTTTCCGCAGCCGAAGCATACTTAAAAACCAATCCTCCTTTTCTACCTTTCTACCTCAATTTTGCCCATTAGGTGAGGAATAAATTAGGGGATGATTTTTAGAGAATTGATTATAGCGTATGCTTAGCGAAAATAATATTTAAGAAGTGTTCCTCTTAAAAATAGAAATTATAAAAAAACTAAATAATACTAAAATGAAAAGTTTGCTAAGTATGTCAACTATTAAATAGTTAAAATGTAAATATATGAGGATAGAACCAGAATTACTCCTTCATATAAAGGAAGATTTCCTTATGGGTTCCGGGAAAGTAATTGTGGTCGAGATGAAACTACAAAAATTACCAGGTATAAATAAAAAAGAGTTTCCGCAAGATTATAAGTTCAATCTGATAGCCTATAATAAGGTAAACGAAGAAGAATATATTCTAGTTGACAACCATGACCGCAAAGAACCGCATTGACATGATGATAATCACGAAGAGTTTTTCTCCTGAGTAAGTTGAGAAGTAACTTTGGAACTATTTCTCCAAAAAACTATTAAAAAATTTGGAAGTTTTCAAAAAAAAGCCAATAAATAAAAGTTATGAAGTCAGCAAATAAAACATTCATTTTTAAATATGATTCCGAAAGTAGCATTGAAAGAATGTTTACTAATTTTCGCCAAGCGGTAAAGGGAGAATTAAAATTAGTTGAGCCTAATATCGTTCGTTCCAATAGTATTGAAGCTCTTTTACACGGAGTTACTAAGGAAAGATTGGAATTATTTTCAGTTTTGGTCGAGAAAAGGCCAGACGACTTAAAACAGTTAGCTGATTATTTAAGTCGCGACTATCAAAGTGTTTACCAGGATGCTAAGATTTTAGCCAAATGGGGAATTATTCAATTAGAAGGAGAGAATGAAAAAATTAAACTACAAACCCCCTATAAAAAAATCGTTTTGGAATTTCCGGCTCATTATACTCAAGTTTCGCCAGTAGCCAAATCCAAGACTTCTCCTCAGTTAAGTCTCTAACTTAACTCTTATTAGGCATTTAGATTATCGGGATTTATTTCTTGCTAACAGGATGACAATCATTTTAATCTAACAAAGAAAATAATTTGAGAAGTAAAAGAGCAAGTAATTTTCCGAGAGAAAGGATTTTTGATTTTTTAGTGTTGATTATAAACTTATTCTCTACCTAAGTAGTCCATTAGGGGAGGAATATCACAAACTTAAATTTACGAATAATTTTCACCTAGTCTCTGCTAGAAGAAAGCAAGTTTTTAAGTCAAATTAAAAACACAACAATCCCAATTACAAACAAAGAGGCAAGTTTAAATGTTCAATTAAAGCCATTAATAAATGCTTGTTTCCAAACTTCATCACTTCAATTACCTGCTGCTTTAAATGTAGAAAAGAAAGGCCAAAAAAATAAACTAAGTCATCCTACTACCACCAGAACAATTACTAACTTAAAAAAATTTTCTCAGGTGATTATTTTTTCTATTATCATATTTTATGCCTTTTTAAATTACTTCTTTTCTTTTTTAGGCTTAATTTTAATACCAACCATTAATTACTAAGGTTTTTCTTGTCTTCGGCTTGTATTCTATCTCATTCAGCAATTTCTTGCTTTCTCTGTTCGTCTTTTTTGGCTAATTCTCAATCTTTGGCTAATTTTTTGTTCTTTTTTTTCACTTTGCTGGTCGTAATTGGCTACTAATTGGCGGAGACTGTCCATATTAAGTTATTTTTTAGGTGGTGTTTCAACTCTAGTTTCTAATTCTATATTTTCATCTTCTAGGCTATCTAAAAGACGAATGTGGCTGTCATTCTGAACAAATTCTGGTGGAATTTCAACTCTGGTTACTTCTTGCCGAATTTCATTTTTTTCTTCTTCCTCAACCGTTCCATAATAAAAACTTCGCCGGTACTTATTTATCTCTTTTTCCAATTCTTTTATTGCTTGAAAAATTCCTCCTAATTGGCTACTTCCTTCTTCATTTTTTTCCTTGTCTAAATCTTGAGCAAGGTCGTTTTTGTTTGTTTGTAACTCAAAAATGCTAATTGTTCCGTTACTGTCTTCATCGTATTTTGTTGAAAATTCTTTAGACCTATTATCTAAATCTTTCAATGCTTCATCTAATTTTTCTTTTCCTATTTTGTAACCTCGGAGTGATTCGAGTATCCCTTTCAACTCATGGTAATTATCTAATAACTCAACTGCATCTTTCGTAAATTCCTCCCATTTTTGGCCTTTTTCTTCGTATCACTTTTGTTTGGCATAGGAGGTAATTGTCTCGATTATTGGAGAAACCACCGCTACCACTCCTACTTGGTAATCATAGAAGGATAAAATACCACTAATACCAACCGCTGCCCTTCCTCCCCACTGAGGAATAGCTCAATATCAGTTCATTTTGAATTCTTTGGGAGATTGCAAATTACTTAATTTATTTACATTTTCAATACCAAAGAACTTCTTTTTATTTTTTTCATATCAATCATCTTCTACCTCACCGCTTCATTTACTAACAAATTTCTTAATGTTACTACGAATAACAAATAACCTTTCAATAGGAATAGATAGGACAATATTACTCCTCAATTCCTCGCGTCATTTAACCAAGTTGAAGTATTTTTCGCCATCACTTCTTTCTTCAAGATGTTTAACTAAAATACTAGCAATCTTGGCTGATTTTTTTGTGGTGTCTGGCTCACAGTAGAGTTCTCGACAATTATCTGATAAGTAGTCGAGACCTGAATCAACATCAGTATTAGTAAGAACAATCGTTCTTAGTTCTTTCATGTTTTCTAGGTATTTTAAACTGCCAGAAAAAGAACAATTACCAATATTTAGAACTTTTAAAGCGGCAAAGGGAGTTAAGAAGTTCAATTTTTCTTTCAGTTCTTGATTATCATTTAACTTTAACTTCTCTAATTTTTCTTGGTTAGGTATCGTTCGTAGAAAGTTGGTATTAACAAATTCATTGTTAGAACAATCCAACTCAGTCAAATTTTGACAACCGCTTAGATTTAGGCTAGTTAATTGGTTGTAAGAACAGTTCAATTTTTCTAATTTAGTGAAATCGCTCAAGTCTAGTTTCCCTATCAAATTCTTATCGCTCATAATTATTTCTTTATAATGCTGTCGGTTGGTGTAAGGGGGATATTTTTCATCTAATCATTCTTGAGCTTCTTGTCTTTTAAAAACTTCTGCTCCTAACAAGTTTTTAACTTGGCGTCAAGGGGCAAAACGGTATCAATCTTTAACAAACGGCGGTTCATTTTCTTCCTGTTGCTGAAGTTTTTCTGTTACTCTGGGAAATCTAATTGACCTCTCTATTTCTCATTTAATATCTAAATAACCAGCATTTTTTCGTTGTCAACTGTTGATTAGACAAATTTTTCTTAAACTATCTGGCAAGTACTCTAATCCAGAATTGATGTCAGTGTTGGCAATGTTTATTCATTTCAATTCTCTGAGGTTTTGGAGAGGTTGTAAAGAACCACTGAAACGATTATAAATGTTCTGTTCCAATTTTTCTTTACTATGATTATCAACGAACAATTTTTCTAATTTAACAAACTTGCTTAAAAAAGACAAATCTTGTTTTGCAAAATTGTTACTATGAATACTTAAATGGGTTAATTTTTCGGGGTTGAGATTACTGAGAAAACTAGTGTCAGTTAGTAAGTTGTTAGCAATATTTAATTCGCTAATTTCTGGACAGTTATCGATGGTTAAATAGGCAACTTGACAGCCATTAGCATGGAAGTAATTCAATTTAGGCAGGTTAATTAATTTGATGCTAGCAAGGTCTTTATTGTTGCCGCATTTGATACTTTCTAAATTGGGGAAGTCTTGGATGATTAATTGACCCACTAAGTCTTGATTAGCAAGGTCTAGTTCTTTGACTTCTTTGGAATAATTTTTATCCAGTCATTCTTGGGCATTTACCATATTTTCAAATATATGTTTTATTTTAGCCAATTTCGATTGATAACATTAGTTAATATATATTGGTTCAGTTTTTGTTGTGCTTGCTTTTTTAGTTTATTTTTAACATGAAAAAGCGAACGAATGCTCCTATTTTTGATTGACTATTTTAAATAATTCATCCTAAAAAAGACTTAATATGACTAAAAGCAGTAGAAAGAAAAGAAAAATAGCGGTTAGTTCTTCAGATAATTGGAAGGATATTCTTCCGGAATTTACTGAGAAATTACAAGAAGAGTGAGAAAAGAAAGGATTTAATTATGAAGAGTGTAAGGAGTGAATTAACAATGGTTTAAAATCAACTGATGCCGACTATGCTTGGTGGCTAAAAACCGAAATTGAAATTAATCCTTCTTTATATGGTTCTAAGAGTAAGGAAAGGAAAGAAAAATGAAAGGAAACATGAAAAAAATTTTTGAGCATCCAGAATGCCCAAGAATGATTAGAGGTTAATTATCCTAAAAAAAATGAGACTACTACCTTATTTGCTAGAAATAAAAATTTAGAGGGAGAACTAATTATAAAGGGATACCAGGAATTAAGAAATGTCTATTGTGAGTATAACAGCAACCTTACTCATGTCGAACTTATTGATCTGCCTGAACTAACTCATTTTAGTGTTAGTGATTGCCATTTGGAAAATATAAGGATTAGAGGTTGTCCAAAAATTAGTTACTTAAATGTCAGTAATAATTACCTTCGTGATTTAGATTTTTTGGATAATTTACAGCCAGAAAGACTGAAATATTTGGGTATTCATAATAATGACATAGGTAAAAAGGAAAACGAACAAGAAGAAAAACATAATCTAAGTGTTTTTAGTAGATTTATTAATCTAGAAGAACTATATATTGATAATTCTGATAAAGGAAAATTTGAGAAAGGCCTCTATAACCGTTTTACTGGCTCTTTAAAACCTTTAAAAGATTTAGAAAAATTAAAATGATTAAACATCAGCAACACAGATGTAGGAAGTGACTTAGGAACCAACGAAAAAGATGTTGATTATGGGTTGTGGTATTTACCAAACAGCGTGAAGAAAGTTGGTTGTAAAGGTAGCGATGATTGGGTAGATAAGAAGGAAGGTAAAAAAAAGGTTTGGGGTTGTGAAAAAATCCAAAAAAAACTAAAAAAAAAATTTGGTGCTACTAAGGAGCCACAACAAATAGAAGTTGACGAGCCAGAATTCGTCCGTGAGTGATGCGTAGTGGAACCATTTTTTGCTAATAAAACAGACGTCATGATAGCTCCCAGCCTTTTGCTCAAATCGCTAAACAAAAACAGGATTAAGGAAAATTATGACTGCGACAACATAAATTATCGAGAGATACGTCTAAGAGACGGTAAACCCTTTTCTTGAGAAATCATTAATAATGACTTTGAACAAACATTAATCAAAAAGCTACCAAGTAAACTTTACAATATTAAAACAAAAAAAGTAGAAAAAACGGAAAAAAATTTGAATATAAAAAATTATGCTACTTTATCTTATGCTTATGGTAGCACAGATCCGAATGATAAAAAACTAAGTTCTGGAGGAAGAAAGGCTCTAACTAAAGCCCGAGAAGCGTGTTTTCATTTAGGAATTGATTATCTCTGAATGGACCAATTGTGTATTAACCAGAATAATAGCGAAGAAAAAGCACAAGAAATAAAAAAAATGCACCAATATTTTAGTAATGCCGATGTTACTTTGATAGCGATTAACACTAATGCAGAAGAAAAAAATAGCAACGAAGAACCGACTACTTTCAGCTTGTTAAGCGTATTAGAATTGATACTTCGGTCCAAATGATTTACTCGTTGTTGAACTTTCCAAGAAGGATGACTATCTAAGCAAACTATCTTTATGTTTGATGACTATCTAATCGATGGAAGAATAATGGCCGGGGTTTGAGTTTTGGAGCAACCTTCTTATAGCGATGGTATTAAATATAACAACATTAATGAGTTTAATGATGGCTCAAAAAAAATCGCTACCCCTATCGGCTGAACCTACTATAAAAAAGGCTACAGTCATGAGGACACGATTTTTTTAACCCTAAATGAAATTTTGCGAGCAGTTAAAAAAAGAAAAAGAACTTTACCTATTGATAGTATTTACTCCATTTTAGGACTATTGCCTTATGGAAACAAAGTGCGAGTGGATTATTCTTTAAGTCCTCAACAGGCTTTGTTTGAGGTGATGAAAACTGCGGTGGAAAATGGTTACGCTGAACCTCTGGCTTGACATGGAATCGGGAAGAACGTTAAAGGAATTGGGCGATGCCTGCTGCCTAACATTGATAAGAAAGGCTCAACCAGTGTCCAAGGTTCGCTATACATTCAGTGTAAACAAGAAGAAAGAGAAACGAGAAAGTCTATCACTTTTATGCCTAATAGTGTTAAAATAGCCGGTTCAAGTGGTTTAACTTACACTATAAAGCAATTCGAAAGAAACACTGTGTCTTTCGATGTAAGAGAAGACTTTCTGATAGATGGCGGTGCTTATATGAAAGATGTTGTGGTAACTTTTATTGACAAAAAAGAATACAAGGAAAGGCGAGTTACTTTATTGGGAACCCGGGAAGCACTGGAAGAAATGAAACCAGGAGACCATTTAGTAACATTTGGTAGAGGGTATTGGAAAAGCAACAAACCGTTTGGCATAGTAATAAGGAGAAAAGGTAATCGCTATCACCGAATAGGTTTGGTAGAATTTCAAAAAGAAACTGAGAAAGAATTGAAACAAATGACTAAAGAAGAGGAGTTAACCATTTGAATAAATGACTACAACCATAAAGACTCTTGCGAACAATTAGTATTTAGCGAAGAAGATTCAATAAACGATTGCCAAGAGTTTGTGGAACAGCCTCCCAAGGAACGTTTATCATGTTCGTAAATTGCCTTATAACCCCTTTACAAAAATAATTAATTTCAAATCAGTTTACTAATTTAAGAAATAACCATCCAGAATTTTATTTTAGAATGGTCCAACTTCAATTTGGGTTTCGAGAAATTTTTCACTTTCTAATTCTTGTAAGTTAATTAATTCTTCTCTTTTAGTAAAAACTTCTTCTCATTCAGCACTAGACAATTTGGATTTTAATAATTTTTCGGCTGCTAATTGCTGCTGTTGGGTAAGTAAGTTGCCTTGGTTAAGCAGATAATTTCTAAGCATTTCTTTTTCTTCAATAGTGAACTTGATTTCATGCTGTTTAAATATTTTTTCAATTTGTTCTTGCTTTTCTGCGAGACCATATTCCAATAACTTTGTAATTTGTTTGGTTTTTTTCTCAACTTTTTGAAATTGTTTTCTTAGTATTTCAATCTCTTCTTTCAGTTCCCTTACTTGTTTTCGCAAACTCTTTACTAGGGGCTTGTCTTCGAGCAGTAATTCTTGGGCTTGCTGTCAGGGAGCTATTCGGTGCCAGTTACTAACAAATTCTGGTTCACCTTCTTCCTCCTGATATAATTTCTCAGTTACTCCAACGATTTGCGAGCATTTTTCTAATTCCTCCCGAATTTTTAAGTAGCCAGCATTTTTCCGGTCTCACTCATCATTCAGGCAGATTTTCCTTAAATTTTCTGGCAAATGTTCTAGATCAGAGCTGAGGTCAGTGTTAGCAATGTTTAGCCATTTTAATTTTTCTAAATTGCGTAGTGGACGAAGAGAACCAATAAATCGGTTATAGACATTATTCTCAAACTTTTCCTCGTCGTGATTGTCAATAAACAGTTGCTCTAAATTGGTAAACTTACTGAGAAAAGATAAGTCTTGTTCTGAAAAATTGTTACTGTGAATGCTCAAATAGGTTAATTTTTCTGAGTTCAGTTGGTTTAAAAATTTAGTTTCGCTAAGGAGATTGTTTCCCACGTTAAGATAACCAATTTCAGGACAGTTATTAATAACCATATTGATGATTTGACAACCATTGGCATGAAAGTAATTTAGTTTAGGTAAATCAGCAATTTCGATACTGGTAAGTTTATTATTAAAACCGCATTCAATTTTTTCTAAACTGTCAAAACCTTCAACCACTAGTTTTCCTTCTAAATTTTTCCCCCTTGCAAAAATCTTTTTAACTTCTTTTCTTTGTTCTTTCGGATAAGTTTTATCCAACCATTGTTGTGCTTGTACCATAACTAGTATTTTAATTGTTTACATCCTTGTCAGTTAGATTGTGCTAATAATTAATGGAGGTTATTTTTCTAAACACTTTGCAATTCTTCTTTTGTTGCTTAGCCTATTTTTCAGTTTGTTTCATGTTTCTTTATTTATTAGGAGCTTGAATTTGAACTTGTGTTTCAGGTTGCTGATTTTCTTCATTAAGGTTAAGTTGGTCGAGATCAACCGGGATTTCTAAATTAATTTGTTTAGAATCACTACTATAAAATATCTCATTAATTTCTTTGCTGTTTTGAGATTCAGGAAGGCTCTTAAAATCCAACCGACGACTAGTATAAAGTGCCGAAGGATGAGTTTTATAATCAAGAGAAGTCAAATTATTTAAAAATTCTTCTTTATCTTTAAATTGCTGAAAGAATTCGGTGTTATTTTGGCTATTTACTTCGCCTAATCAATTGTTTAAAATCCGGCTTAATTCATTAGCCGTAGGACGTTTTGCGGGGTCAGCATCTCAACATCTTTCAATCAAGTTTTTTAATAATTGAGGTATTTTCACTTCAAATTGTGGACGAAGTCCTTGACAAATTTTCTCTGCTAAACTGTGGTCATGGGCTAGTTCTTTATAGCATTTTTCTTTCTCATCATAAGTTACATAAGGAGGTAGTCCTGATAATACTTCATAAGCCACTATACTTCATGAATAAATATCTGCAGCCGGAGTATAATTTTCTTTTCTTAAAACTTCTGGAGCAACATAAGGTAAAACTCCGAATATTTTTTCTTCTTGTCTTGCTTCATTGGCTGGCTTACATAGTCCTAAATCGGTAATAAAACTGTGAATATCACTATTTAAGATATTGCCTGGATGAAAATCTCGGTGAACCAATTCTTTGTTGTGAATATCTTTTAGTCCTTGAGCAATGTTAACTAAACGGAAAAGTTTATCTTTAAAACTTAGTTTTTTATTTTTTAAGTATTTTCTTAAATCTCCTCCTTCGATATATTTTTTAATGGAAACACAACCCCTTGTTTTAAATCCCCCCAAAAACTACTTAATGGACTAGCAGAAATAAAGCGGATATCTAAATCAGACCTCAAACATTTTTTAACCCAAGACCACACTTCCTTCTCAGTTCTTAGTGTCTCCACTAAACACATTGAATCCACTAACCGCATCTCAGTTACTTTATCTAAAAACTCTGCTCGTAGTTTCTACTTAGACCAGTCCAAAGCAAAGTCAATTATTAACCAAACGCAACCTCAACTAAAAGACGATTGCCTCCAAGACGCTCAAAACTGTATCTACTTCTCCTTTTTTAACTCTAAAGAAAAAAAACTTTACATTCGTTATAAAGATAAAATAGAAGCCAATTTTGAAGGCAAGCAAGCCACTGGTCCACTCCTTTTTCTCACGCTCACTTTTAACACTAAACACGACAATTATTCCACTTTTACGACTAACTGAAACCCGGAAGACCCTTG